TTTATTTTTTTTTGAGTTGGTGTCTCACTCTGTTGCCCAGGCTGGAGTGCAGTGTCATGCTCACGGCCCCCACAGCCTCTTCCTGCTGGACTCAAGCGATCCTTCCGCCTCAGCCTTCCAAGTATCTGGAACTACAGGCACATGCCACCATGTTTGGCTAATTTTTTGATTTATTGTAGAAACGAGGTATTACCAAGTCGTCCAGGCTGGTCTCAAACCCCTGGACTTAGGCAGTCCTCTCGCTTCAGCCTTCCAATTTGCTGGGATTACAGGCTTGAGCCACTGCACCTGGCACAACTAGAACTTTCATTCACTGCTGGTAAGGAGACAAAATGGTAAAGTGAATTTTTGTTGTTGTTGTTTGCACAAAAACCTATACATATATTCTTGGGGAGACCTGGCTGTTAAAAGAAAAAAAAGATAAAAACATACATAATGTTTACAGTAGCTTTCTTCATAGTTGCCAAAAACTGTAAGCAATCGAAAGGTTCTTCTGTTGAATGGGGTCAGCAAACTGAGGTGTGTCCATACAGTGAAATACTTCTTTTTTTTTTTTTTTGAGTTGGAGTCTCACTCTGTTGCCCAGGCTGGAGTACACACACTCATGGCCACCCCATCGTCAACCTGCTGGGCTCTGGTGATCCTTCTGCCTTAGCCTTCTAAGCAGCCAAAACTACAGGTGTGCGCTACCACACCTGGCTAATTTTTTGATTTATTGTATAGACATGGTCTCACCAAGTTGCCAAGGCTAGACTCAAATCCCCAGGCTCAGGCAAACCACTCACCTCAGCCTCCCAAAGTGCTGGGATTACAGGCTGAGCCACTGAGCCTTCTTAACAATACTTCTTAGCAATAAAAACAAACATATAGATGAATCTTAAAAGCATTATGCTTTTGAAGATAATGCTAAGGAAGGAAACCAAACTCAAAATGCTCTATATTGTATAATTCCATTTATATGATGTTCTGGAAAAGGAAAATTATAGGAACAAAACCTACTAGGCTTAGTGATTGCCAAGAGTTGGATGGGGGAGGAGTTAACTATAGTGGGGCATAAGGGAATGTTTTGGGGTGGTGGAACTTTCTGTGTCTGGGTAGTGATGATGATTACATGGTTATGTGCATTTGTGAAAATTCATAGAATTGTATACCAAGGGTAATGTTTTTGTTTGTAGATTTTGAAAAGTCAGTTAAAAAATAAGCTGGGCTCGGTGGTTCAGCCTGTAATCCCGCGCCTTTGGGAGGCTGAGGTGAGTGGATTGCCAGAGCCCGCAGGTTCGAGACCCACCTGGGCAGCGAGACCTCATCTCTACAATAAATAAAAAATCAGCCGGGTGTGGTAGCACGCGCCTGTAATTCCGGCTATTCGGAAGGCTGAGGTGGAAGGATTGCCAGAGCCCAGTGGATCGAGGCTGTGGTGGCCGGGCGTGGTCACTGCACTCCAGTCTGGGCGACGGAGTGAAACTCCAACTCAAAAAAATAAATAAATAAATAAATAAATAAAATGCTTGTCTGGGCGCAGTGTCTTATACCTGTAATCCCAGCACTTTGGGAGGCAGAAGCAAGAGGTTGTCTGAGCCCAGGGGTTCGAGACCAACTTGGGAAACTTGGTGAGCCTTTGTCTCTACGATAAATCAAGAAAAATTAGTCAGGTGTGGTGGCGTGCCTGTAATTCAAGCTATTTGGGAGGCTGAGGTAGAAGGATCACTTGAGTCCAGCAGGTCGAGGCTGCAGTGTCTGTGAATGTACCATTGTATTCCAGCCTGGGTGACACAGAGAGACTCCAACTCAAAAAAAAAAAAAAAAAAAAAAAAGGCAAGGTGTGGTGGTTCAGTCTGTAATCCCAGCACTTTGGTAGACCGAGGTGAGAGGGCTGCCTGAGCCAGGAGATTCAAGACCAGCCTGGGCAACTTGGTGAGACCTCATCTCTACAGTAAACCACAAAAACTAGCCGGGTGTGGTGACATGCATCTGTAGTTCTAGCTATGTAGAGGGTTGAAGCAGAAGGTTTGCCTGAGCCCAGCAGGCCGAGGCTGCAGTGGCTGTGAGTGTGCCACTGTACTCCAGCCTGGTCTACAAAGAGTGGGACTGCAACTAAAAAAATAATAGTAGTAATGATAATAAAATGCTTGATTCTTGTTTTCTCTGAAATGAATGTTGGCTTTGCTTTGAGAAGTGGGAAGGGATTCCAGAAGCTCTCACGTTCCTTTCCCTAAAGCTACCCGGAGAGTTGACTGCCTTGAGTTTCTCTGTAGCTCTGGAAAGTCCTACAGAAGTGGTGACAGGTCTTTTTCCATCTTAACAGGGCAGAACATAGAGTGGGAGGTTATGAGATGTATTTTTTCTGCTTGACTTTTTTTTTTTTTTTTTTTTTTG